TCAGCTGGTGGGTCATGGCAAGGCAGTTTGCGCAATAGCGGCCCAGTAGAGCTTCGCGCAGTCTCTCCTCGGGCGATTTTGCCCGATAAATAGGGCAGAGCCTAATCGGGTGGTGTGCGTCGCATAGGCGGCACGGTAGCGGATAGCGGTGGGCGCGTTGTTCGGCTCGTTTCCTCATAGTGGCGATATGAGACATCGTTACGGCTGAAATAGGGTCAGATATCGTTGCAGTGGATATTATAACGTATATATGTATTGTTGGGTGGCGAGTGGTATGAAAGGCGCAACATTTTGATGAGTGCAAGCGCATAATTCGGTGGGTGTGAACTTGGCATTATATACATTATTTTGCTAATCAAAGAACCACCTAGTGTGAATGTAGCATAATGTTAACTCACGACCTACAAAATTTTGGATGATGAATTGCATGGATGCCATGCATTCTACTGTGCAGGGATGTATGGGCAACGTAGAATTTTACTTGAATTAAATTATACCGAAAAAATGCCTGTGCGTATGAGTGTGGTAGCATTTATTTATTTTTATTATTTTTCATTTGTGCTTTCATCCGCATATTTTGTCAATAGCAGGTTTTAACATATGTGTGTGTGTACTTGAGCATGTGACGTGAACCTGCTTATCGACATTTGGAGACTTATGTATCTTGGTTTACATCGGCACTCAACAATCCCACTTCCCACCGGCATAAGCTTGCATATCATTGGGCGCCTTGCTGTTAAAAAACAAGGTGCCGCCTAAGAAATACTTTAGCAAGCATAGTATCTTAACATTTTTGTGGTACGTAGTGACTTTGGATTGGTTTCCCATGTAAAATAACCAATTAACATTTTGTGACTTTGCTTTGGTTTTACATTTAAAATAACCAATTAACATTTTGTGGTACCCAGTGACTTTGCATTGGTTTTACATTTAAAATCCCCAATTGTATGACAACAGCAATTAAATTTATTGTCTACGAACGGTCACCATGCAAAACTAGCAGCAGCTAGTTAGGGTTAGTGTTAATTGTCCGTAAAGAAACATAGCTATTCTCCAATATGAATGGAGAACGGCGCTAGGTTTATTCCTGATGTGGAACGTAATCACATACATACATACATACAATGCATAAATGTCATTGTCTAAAATTTTACTACCACGCGGCCATTACGTAAGTTTGCTGGAACGGTTGGGTGAGTATGCATGCGAAATTGCATGCTTTTGTTCTTATTAATCTTTTTTCGATTTTCAGATCACATGAATCAAATTAGCAGTTCTGGTGGCCCTGGTGGGTCTTCCCAACAAATGCAGTTAGGTCCAGGGCAGATCCCGGGAGGGCCAATGAACGTGAATGCTATGAATGTACAGCAGATTCAACAAATGGGTCAACAGCAAATGGCGCAAATCAGCATGAACCATCAGCAATTAAATCAAATGATGAACGCACGTTTGAACGCTGCTGGTCCTATGGGTACAAATGCTGGTGCAGGAGCGCAAATATCAGTACCGAAAAGTAACTCCAAACTAGGACGATATGATCGATAAAGCGTGTGATTGGCAAGTGGACTTTGGAGCGTAGTATTTACCACTTCCATCAATGGGTTAGATGATTTTCTGAATTGTTGCCCAGAGAAATTAACGATATCTAGTTTTTCTAGCGCCTTCTCGCATTTCAACAGAGTTTCTAAAGGTGCACGCTGGTTTGGATTACTCAAGATCTCCAGTAATTTGCTCATTTTTGTATGTTTTTCAGTATTCGCTCCATCAGTACCAATTTTGGCCACCATCCGCTTTAGTGGATCAATATACTTTGTCAGCTGTTTGTATTTTTCGCGATACAAATGATCTTCTTGCGGATTAAAAGGACTACTGCTTGCCACCTGACCAGGCGTATTAAGCTGCGTACTTGGTGATTGACGCATCTGCCTTTGTGTACTCTGCATGAGGTTTGACATTTGTGGGCTGGATGTGGGTACTAATGCAGGGCTTGGAATCATCTGCGCATTAGACATTTGAGTCTGCTGTTGTTGCTGTTGATTTTGTGCAGCCTGCTGCTGTTGTAATTGCTGTTGTGCAGCCGACATACCAGTGGCAGATGGCACAGTACTTGGTGAAGGACTTTGCCGTAAGAACTGCTGCTACTGACCCGGAACACCACGATTAACCTGAAACATCTGGCCACCCTGACCTATTGGCATATTTACCTTCTGTTGCATATTCTGGGAAATACCTATCATTTGGCTGATACCACTTTGCTGGCCAGCATTTTGGGGCATTGCACCACCCTGTTGACCTTGTGGTCCACCAACAACATTGCCTGGATGCATTGGGCCGAAAATATGGCGTACGTGTGAGAAATCGTCTCAATACGAATGCGAAGTTCCTCATCTACTTCAAGGCGAAGTAGCATGATTAGATCAAAAGTTTAAACTTATGCTTGACAGCACAGCTCAAAATAATCCAAAATCTATAAAAGTGATTTGTTGTCTCGATGACAAACGTTTACCATGCGTACCACCAATTACTGTAACTATTCCAGAGGAATACCCGTCAGTATCGCCATCTTGTGCATTGGCTCAGCATGAATATGGTACCACTCCGTTTTTAAAAGCTGTGCAGGCTGCATTTAAAGCACGAATTGCAAAATTGCCAAGATTGTATTCGTTGTCACATTTGTTGGATACTTGGGCTTGATGTTGGTGGTGGCTGCATTGGCGCGTTATCTGTTATGGCTGACTTTTTGGGTGCCGTTGATTCAGGTACAGGTATTCTGCTGGCTGTAACCATCATCTATCAGTACTTCGAAATCTTCGTTAAGGAGCAATCGGAGATGGGTGGCATGGGCACTTTACTGTTTTAAGTTGGGGGTGCGCTGTACATTATTCTAATTAATGTTGTTTATAAGATGTGACTCACTCAAAATTGAACAATATCTATCCCCGAAAATATAAACCAATTGCCATATCGCTTTCAGCGTCATATGCAAAAGTATAGCTCGGTGCGTCTAACCCGTCATTACAATTATCGCTTCCAACTCAATGGCCAAATCGCTCAAGATCGTAACCATTGTACACCCATATCGCACAATGGTAAGTCATCGGATTATGAACCAGGAATAACCGCAGGTGATGCCGATAAAGAAGACAACCAAAATTATGCAGCTGCCACTGCACTAATGATTATAACAACAATAATTCTCATATTGGTGGAGGTGGAAACTGCAAGTTTACTAATACACAAAGGACTAATACCTACGAGCGGAACTGGCGCACATAACGGAACTAATGCCGGAAAAATGGGTGAGTTAGACATATCCCTTTAAAATATATGCATATGTATGTATAGATATTTTTTTTTTTTTTGAACTATAGTCTTTGCTGGTAGGTTTTGACAATTGAGGCGAACTCATTTGGTCTAATGGGTTGACTGACGATTATCGAAACCTGTCAAGTAAAATGTATTCGCTTCCCATCAGACCTAGTTGTGTTGAAAAACGAGCAAGCATAATGAACAATTGTAACGACTTTCAATTTATTTCGCTTATTATTATATTTTTTGGAGGATTTTAATTGATAATTCGTACCTCGTTACCAATTTCGTATTTCTGAAACAATTGTTCATCAAGCTTGGTCTGTCTTATTTTTACCCGATTCATCAAGCTGGGTCTGTCTTATTTTTACCCGATTCAATGCTTACAAGATCTAACGATGGTCGGTTCTTTATACCCAGATCTACCCGGAGAGGCCGGGCTAAGAACCATCACCAAAATCTAACTAAAACACGACTACCTTTAATATTGCTCTGGGTTAAACTTGATTATAGGCGTTGAATCCTTCCGAATGCATAGAAGTGGAATTTTTGTGCGATGAGGAAGTGGAATTCACGCGGGATTGGGGATCAACGGAGAGGGTTTATTTACGAAGCGCTTGCTGGCTCCTCGGTTTCTTGATTTTGGGATGGAAGTAGGACCAGTTTGGCCAGCGGTCTCGTAATCTGCCCTTTTTCCGTGATGATGTCAACTACGCGTACTCGATCGTCGGGACCAGGATGTAGGCTGATAATTCGACCTAATCTCCACTCAATTGACGGGAGGTTGTCTTCCTTGATGACAACGAGATCTCCTAATTTTATATTTTGCTGTGGATATTTCCACTTAATCCGCTTTTGCAGTTCGGATAAATATTCGGTTTTCCATCGTTTACAAAAAGTTTGGTGAAGGGCCTTTAGCTTCTGCCACCGATTTACTATCGAGGCAGGATTCTCGTGAACGTCGATTTCAGGTGGGGCTAGCAGGTGTCCACCGGTAAGAAAGTGACCTGGAGTGAGAGGCTCCAGGTCGGTAGGTTCATTCGAAGCGGGGCTCAATGGTCGTGAGTTGAGGCACGCCTCAATCCGACATAAAAGAGTACTGAACTCTTCGAATGTATACTTATGAACGGATGCAATCTTTTTAAAGTGGCTTTTAAAGCTTTTTACCCCCGCCTCCCATAAGCCGCCCATATGAGGAGCAGCGGCGGGTATGAAATGCCATGTGAGCATTTGATGATTGTATTTCGAAACTGTTTTTTCACGCGAATCTGCTAAAAATGCCTTAAATTCAGATCGTAAAGATCGTGAAGCTCCGACGAAGTTTGTACCATTGTCGGAATATATGTTCTTCGGGCATCCTCTTCTGGCTACAAACCTGGCGAATGCAGCTAAAAATGATGGAGTGCTGAGGTCACTAGTTGCTTCCAAATGGATCGCTTTTGTCGAAAAACAGACAAAAAGGCAAACGTATCCTTTGGACATTCGACAACCTCGGCCGCTATAACTTTTGATGTCAAAGGGTCCTGAAAAATCTACACCTGTATTCGTAAACGCGCGCGAAAATGTGGTTCTCTCCGGAGGGAGAATTCCCATAAGCTGGGTTTGCGTACGTTTTTTGTATATCGTACAGACTTTGCAATTATGGATTGTGGATTTGATCAGATTTTTAACTCTGGGGATCCAATACTGAGTTCGGATAAGGCGAAGCATGAGTTGATTTTCCCCATGCAAAGAGACTTGGTGAATAAAGGACACTATTAGACGGGACAACCTGCAGTTATAAGGAATAATTATTGGATGCCGCTCGTTATACGCTAAGTCTTGAGACGCTCCAAGACGCCCACCAGCCCTAATAATGCCATCTTTATCTATGAACGGATTAAGCGGTAGGAGTTCACTCTTGGAGTCGATGGAGTTTCCTGCTTTAAGTTTCCTGTAATAGTTCTGTTGATATATTTTTATCAAGCGTTGTGTCGTTGCTTTAATTTCATGGGATGAAATTAAGCGTGACTTTTCTTGAAATGAAGCTTTCGTATTTCGATGCGTTCTTTGAGAGAATCTCATAACATATGATAATACTCTCAAAGCTCTCGGAAAATCTGAAAAACGGTCAAGAATATCGGTATAATTTACTTTGGTTGTATAAACGTACGTTCTTTTTTCCTCAACTACTGTGCTGTAGTCTGTTTCCTGGGTGGGCCATTTTGGGTTATCTTCTTGTAACCAAGAAGGTCCCTGCCACCACAACGAATTGTTGACCAATTCATATGCTGGAAGTCCTCTGCTCGCTAAGTCTGCTGGATTTGATGCCGAATCCACATGCAGCCAATTCTTGTTTCCGACTTTCTCTACAATTTTTGTGATTCTATGGGCAACGAAAGTTGACCATGAACACGGAGGCTTGCGAATCCAAGCGAGAACAATTGTGGAATCGGTCCACAGATGTATGTTGATATGCCCTAAGTTGAGATTGTTGATTATTGAATCAACTATTTCCGCCAATAGTACCGCTCCGCAAAGTTCCAGTCGGGGTAGCGATATGGTTTTAACAGGAGCAACTCTGGTTTTTGCCAAAAGCAGGTTAATAAAAACTTTGCTATCTCTTTTGACACGCATATACACAGAGGCGGCATATGCTTTCTCCGACGCGTCACAGAATCCGTGTATTTGTATTTCATCCGTTGGAGAAAAGTATACCCATCGCGGTATACGAATATTATCAATCTCGTTATAATGTTGGGTGAAATTCTGCCATCGGTCTAGAGTGGTCGAAGACACAGTCTCATCCCAATCTGTGCCTTGCAGCCAAATATTTTGCATAAGGATTTTGGCTACGATTATGATAGGCGCAAGCCACCCCAGCGGATCGAAGAGTTTAGCAATGGCAGATAGTATCGCTCTTTTCGTAACAGCATCGCTTTTCTCCAATGGCCTTGCTATAAAATAGAAAAGATCCGTATGGGCATTCCATCTTATTCCAAGAGCCTTGACTGCGCTGGTATCTTCAAATGCCAAAAAATCTTCGCTAAGTAGATCTGTTTTTGGTATGCCATTAAGTATTTGCTCGCTATTGGCTGTCCACTTTCGAAGTGGAAAACCGGCTGATTGCAACACTTCCGATATCTCATCTCTGGCTTTTATTGCTGAATCGATAGTGTGTCCACCAGACAATACATCGTCGACATACATGCATTTTCGTAGTATGTTAGATGCTATTGGATGGGAGCTTTGCACATCGTCAGCTAATTGTAAAAGTGTCCTTATCGCCAGATAAGGAGCACAATTGATGCCGAACGTGACAGTCTTTAATTCGTACAGACTGATCGGGTCATTCGGGTTAGTGCGAAAAATAATCCTCTGATACTTAGTATGGTTGTTATGTACCAGAATTTGCCTATACATCTTCTCGATGTCACTGTTGAACACATATTTGTATAGTCTCCAACGGAGTATTAATATCGGAAGATCAGCCTGAAGTACTGGTCCTGGGAAAAGTACGTCATTTAGGCTGTTGCCATTCGCCGTTGGGCTTGAGGCATTGAACACCACGCGTACTTTTGTTGAAGTACTTTCTGCCTTTATAACAGCGTGGTGCGGCAGAAAATAATTATCAGACGAGTCTGCGGGTATGGGATTTGTTATTTTTGACATATGCCCAAGCGTTTCATATTCCGCTAGAACCCTATTGTATTCCGTTTGCATGACGGGATCCTTGGCCAGCCGTGTCTCATTCCGGTAAAATTGAGAACATGCTCTTTTAAGGGATGGGCCTAGGGAAATATTTCCTGGAAAATCTTTCCTAAATGGTAGTGACACGATGTATTTTCCTTCATTATTTCGTATGGTTGTCTTCTGATACAGCTCCTCGCAGTACTTGTCGTCTTCATTAAGGCTCTTGTTCTTTGGAATCTCCTCAAGCTCCCAAAAGGCACTCAGTTGCTTGTCCAGACTAGTATGAGACGATATTCGTTCCTGGATTCGTGGTATCAGTTCGCCCCGTTATTATCCAGCCAAATACTGTTTCTTGGGCTAGAAGTGTGTTTAATATGTTCTTCTTAAGCCCGCTCAGAATAATTTGTGGATATATGTCGCCACCCAGAACAAGGTCTACGGGTTCATTGACGAAAAATCGTTTATCCGCTAGAATCAGATCTGGAAATGCTTGCTTAGTCACTGCACTAATGTGGCAAGTAGGAAGATTTCCAGTCAGTTGTGCTAGCACGAGCACTGAGGTATTCAAGCGGAATAATGGGTCAACAGAAGACCGCAATTCGATGTTGCACGCTTCTTTAACCTGCGCCGTAGTTGTATTAGTGATGCCCGAAACTTGGGCATGCATACGCTTTGATGGCAGGCGAATTCTGCGTTTTAGTCTTTCAGTGATGAAAGAACACTCTGAACCAGAATCAATAAGTGCTCTAGCGGAATAGTTCGTACCATTGAGATAAATGTTGACGCGTGCTGTCCCTAATAACACACCTGTGTTTGTATTCGCATAGCAAGACTTTGTTTGACTTTGTTGAATTGCGTTTGGCTTGGGCCTGATTGGATGTTGATGCAGAATTAGTCGCAGAATCCAAAGAGGTCCCAAGTGTCGTTGCCTTTGTTTGAGCTGTCTCAATATGAAGGAGCGTGTTGTGTCGCGAGTGGCACTTTATACAATTAAATGGGTTTGTGCATCTTGACACGGTATGTCCAGTACTAAGACAGTTCAGGCACCATTTTTTGCTTTTCAAAAAATCGATTCTATCAGCAGGTGTTTTGTTGAGGAATTGTGGACAGTTGCGTAACTTGTGCTCATTAGTTTGGCACATTTGGCAGGTGAACTTGCTCACGCTTGCCTGAAAGGCTCCTAGCCTTTTAGTGTTAGCTTCCTGGTGGTGCCGTGCGGGTTGGTGCTTTGGAGCTTTCACCGTTGTTGTACCCTTTAGCCCCGCTAGAGTTTCCAAAGTTTGGAATCTATTGGATAGGAACCTGTCCATATCCTCCCACTTTGGAATGTCAGTTTTCTGGTCTATGGTCTGTTCCCATAGGGCCAGTGTACTTTCTGGAAGCTTCGTTGAACACAAATATATAATAATTGCGTCCCAATTAGAGATGTCAATTTGATGACTTTTTAGGGACGATAAACAATTATTAATCTCGCGCTGTAGGTTTTTAATTGAGCTACCACACTCAGATTCCACTGTACTTAAGCTAAATAAAACTTTTAATTGTGTGTTAACTAAGATACGTTTGTTTTCGTATCGCTCACACAGGTTTTTCCAGGCTGTCGAAAAGCCTTCATGGGTAAGTGGGCACTTTCGCACTATGTCTTTTGCCTCCCCTTGTGTTTTATTGTTGAGGTGAACTAGTTTCTCAACTGGGGTGAGGCGCTTGTTCAGGATGTAGATGGCCGTGAACATATCTCGGAAAGTTGGCCATGAGAGATAGTCGCCCTTGAACACATCTGTATCGCACGGTGGCAGGTGGATATTGTGTTCTCGGACGGACCGATCCTCTACATCTTTGTTCGCTTTGGTTAGAATTTCAACCTGAGAACCAATAGCAGACATGCACCTAACATAGCTTTGAAAGGAAATCTTATTCTTCTTTTTTATGGCCTTAGCATCATCCTTAGACAATCCCTCATTGATAAGCTTATCGTAAGCTGACTTTGTTTTTTCCCACAAAGCTTTTAACTCGTCTTGTTGAATAGCAAGACCATGTTTGTTTTGTTCTGCGGCGGGTATGCCGTTGTAATCAGATTCAAACTCTGTTACACAGCTTCTGCCAAAAGAATATACGAATCCATTGTTTAACGTGTTTACCCTGACCGAAGTATTAACTGTAATGCCCAGATAGAATCTATAGGATTTTACACACTTAATCTTATCGAAGATTAGAGGTTGTATGCACAAGAGAAGTTGCCAATTTTTTACCCACCGGAACTTGCCACTTAAATGTATACCAGAAATCCAACGAATTAAAAAGATGCAAAATAGTTTGTATTGCGAAATATATTCGACACTTTATTAAAATGTAAACCTTTTTCTTCTAGAATTATTGTTTACTAACGACTCGCCACCCAACTGTGCTGACTAATATCTACGCGCTTTGATAAGCTATGCAAGGTACGCAATAAGGTGTAAATAATGTACGTGGTAAAATCGTGATGTGTGCAACGTACGCAGCAAATTTTAATAAACAGAGTGACCACTTCGATGAGTGCAAAGTACGTAGCAAATATATATGGTAAAAAATGTGCAATATTATACGGAGTTGAATCGCTTATGCGTAGTGATTTAGTGAAAATCTACAATTGGTCCAATGCAAATACCAAAATTTAGAGGTTATGTATCCTCGAAACAGTGACAGTGTTCGCAAATATACAAAAGAATGTAAGCCAACTAAGA